AAAAACTTGCATTTTAAATGTTTACAAGTTTGTGTTGGACTAAATTACAGCTATCCTGTAGTGCATAACCCCCAGGTCATTGGTTGGACCCAAATGCAAAATTTTTAGTTGAGAAAAATTATATTCATATCTATTAAGTTATCATAAAGAGTATCTTAATCCGCCCCCTCCCCATTTTTTCTGAGACAAGGTCTCAGTATGTAGATCTGGCTAGCCCAGAGCTCACTATATTGACCAGCCTTGAACTCAGAGATCTGCCTGCTTCTACCTCCCAAGTGCTGGGATTAAAGGCATGCAGTACCAAGTCCCATTCAGTTTCCCTTTTTAAAAAAAAAAAAAAATGTTATTTTTATTTTATGTGTATGTGTGTATTGCCTGCATGTATGTGAGTGCACTCCTGTCCAGCAATGCCGCGGTGCTCAGAAGGCTTCGGATTCCCCTGGAACTGGAGTTAAGGACGGTTTGTAGTCGCCTTGTGGGTGCTGGGACTCGAACCCGGATCCTCAACCGCTGAGCCCTCTCTCTCGCCCCCAGTTTCCCATGTTTGAAAAACGTTGTATATTTGGGGGCCTGGAGAGATAGAGGCTGACTCAACTTTCCAGCCTAAACTATTTTTTAAAAAGAATATTGGACTTGTCAACGTCAGGAAGTAGGTGGAGATAAGCTATACAACATCCTTTTAAGTATTTTTATTTTCTCAAATTCTCTTAATGAGACTAAGAACACAAACAGCCTGTCTCCTTGGTAACAGTCCCCACCCCCACCGAAATAACGAAAATAAAAAATAGTTCCTTGAGACTCCTAACCAGCATCCTTTCTACAGTTTTTCTCAGGGATGTGGGCCAGTCCAACATAGTCTTAGGAGACAACAGGAATGAGGCTGAGCTTACAGGGAAACAAAGCAGAATTTGGCGGCCAAGCTGGTAGAGCTCTCCTTCATCCAGCACAATAGAGATGGTCCTCCCGTTCGTAGAGAAGCGCGGAGGGATACGGAAAACCGCTGCGCCTACCAGCGGAAGAGCGCCCCGGTATTCCGTTCCTGCGCGGAGTCTGTGTTCTGGCCTCTTCTGCGTCTCAGCTGCGAACGCTAGATGCAGCTGCGCTGGGCGCTGGGCTCCTAAGGGGAGCGGCCGGCACTGGGTGGAACATGGCTCTCCACCTTCCCTGCCGAGGCGCTCCGGGCGGGGCCTGATAGTATCTGCCTTTCCAGAGGCTTCTTGTGAGGCTGGCGGGGTCTGATCGTGTCTACCTTTCCAGAGGCTTCTGTGAGGCTGGCGGGCCCGGAAACCCTGTGGGGTTCAGCCTGCAGCCTGCGAGTGCAGCTCGGGAGACGCCAGAAAGACGCAAAGGGAAAGGATGAATAAGTAAGTGATTGAATGAGGAATGCCTGATCCTGTCCGCAAACACTTGAGGCATCCAGGGTCCTACAGGATGTTCAGAAACATGGAGGGGGGGCGGGAGGGGGTTGTTCCTGTAGCTCAGAAACGTGGTGGGAGGGGGGCGAGGGGGGTTCTCTGTTCTGTCCGCAGTCTCTGCAGTCCTGGCCGGCTTGTAACTCACCATGTAGCCCAGGCTGGTCTCGAACCCGTGTCAGTCTGCCCTTTCTCAGCTCCCAGAGCCCTGGGATCACAGGCTTGAGCCACGATGTTGGGTTTAAGGAGTGTATTCATGATTTAAAGATCTCTGTGGAGTCTCGAGACCACCTTAAAATCCTGCAGAGTGCGGAGGCTGACTGTTTCTTTCTAGAACTGGGCAGTCTTGTGGTCTGTCCCTTCTTTTCTTCACAAGGCTCGGTTGAAACTTGTATACGGGAGCTTATATGCAAGCAATACTGTCTTCCAACGAAATGTTCCAACCATTATTCACCAAACATTTCATGAAATTTAGTGGGGCAAGGCTTCATACAGGACGATTGGAGTTACCAGCCATATCAACGATTTTTCTAGTCTAGTGCTGAAAGGTATGTATAAAAGCAAGTTTGGTGGACATATTTAAAACATTTAAAACCACATGAGCACTTATATGTCAGCTCCCTTTCAAAGCAGTTGTGCTAGTTTACTTACAACAGCATATTATCTGTAAATTTTAAGTGAAGAAATCAGTTACAGAGAATAACTTGCCCATAAATACATTACCACCAAGTGACCCAAGGACGCAGAATCGGCACATACTGTGTACTGCTGCTGCCTGGGGGACTGTGTCATTTGGTGCCAAGAAGGACGCAGATGAGGCATTTGAATGTGGTTTTACTGAAATAACTGCTGTTTCAAATACTTGAAAACAACCTTGACTTTCCTAGATTCCTTAAGCTAATGATTGAGGGCTAAGTGGTGGTAGTGGGGAGGCAGTTTTCCAGGTATGAAAAGGAAGCCATGTCTCTAAAGTTAGCAAGGGGAGGCTATTACAAGTCTTTGCTGTAGTGCTCACTTTTCATTCTTGGATCTGCAGACAGATCTGTTAGCATCTTTTTATATATATACCTTTTCTGTTTTTATTTTATGTGTTTATGTGTGTATTGCCTGCATGTAGGTAAATGCATCTGTGTCATGCAATGCCTGTGGAGGTCAGAAGAGGCTGACGGATCCCCCGGGAGTGGCGTTATGAACAATTGTTAGCTGCCATGTGGGTTCTGGGATTTGAACTCTAGCCTCCTGCAAGAACAGCCACTGAGCCATCTTTCTAGCCCCCAGATCTGTTAGTATCTTAAAATCACTAACAATTAGATTATTTCATAACAGTTATTTGCAGAGGCATCTGTATGGCTCTTTGTGGTATCTCTTTTTGGTTATCAGCAAACCTAGGGGCCAAATTTACTCTACTACCTTTCTTTCTAAAACTGTTATCAACGGCCTGGAGATACAGTTTGATGGTAGAGTTCTTGCCTTGTACAAAGGCTCCAGGTTCAGTCCCCAGCACACATACACAAAAAACCCAAACACAAAATCCCCAAACTTTTATTGAGTCCTATAGGCATGTTCATCCATTTACATATTTTCTGTTTCTGTTTTTAGATAAAGTTCAACAGTTGGAACAACATTTTAGCTCGTAAAGCCTAAAATATCTAATTCCTAGCCTTTAACAGAAAAAGTTTGCTGCTCTTTCACACCAGTAAAGTGTTGAGAGCTCATACTCTCCATGAATAGAGACGGACCATGACAAGATGTGTCTCCTTCTCCACAGGCTTGTAGACTCAAATAAAATAATATATATAGCTAGACTTGTGTGCCTAGTGTGTGGTATATTTCTGGGTAAGTAGTTATATGAAATAATTAGGATTCACACAACCTTAGAGCTGGGAGGACTCATGGAATATCTAACGTGCCACCTTTCCAGATAAATAGACCGTCATGTGGACCTATTCCCAGGCTGTGGCAAAGACAAGATTCCTGACTACCAGTCCAGTCTACTTTTACCTTACTCTGAGTGGAGGACTAATGACCTGGCTTGTTTGTTTGCTTTGGGTGCTTAAACTCATGTTTTTATAAGTGCCTGTTTTCTGATGATAAAAATAGTATGTTTTTAATAAATGTTTGCCTGTATTGAAGAAAAAGTGAAATATAGATGCATGTAAGAGATTAAGTAAAATCATCCAACAGACTTGGAGATAATTTTGTTAAGTTTTGGTGGATTTCCTTGCTGCTTTTCTTGTTTGTGTTGTGTTTTGTTTTGCCTTGCTTCTCCTGTTTTCTTGAGATAGCATCTCATCCCCCTACATCAACTTCCAAGGTATAAGCCATTAAGCCCAACAGAAAGTTTTCTTTTTGCTCTTTATAAATTTGTGTCTTTTGTTATAGCACTACATAGTAAATTTCACTTTATTGAATGATTATTTAGTGCTAGCATATATATTATATATATGTGTGTATATTATTTTGCTGTCTTGTATCCTTTTTAAGTGTACTGTGGTTTTTGATAACAGTTCTTTATGACTTTAAAAAAATATATTATTTATTATTTTTATTTTATGTGTATGAGTGTATTATGTATGTAAGTGCATCCATGCCATGCAATGCCCATGGAGATCAGAAGAGGGTGTCGGATCACCTGGAACTGGAGTTACAACCATGGTTAGTTACCATGTGGGTGCTAGGAATTACTTCTGCAAGAGTGTTCTTAACCGCTGAGCCATCGCTCCAGCCCCTATGACTTTTAATAAGTTTAATAATGTGTAATTGATATTCTATCAATTTATTTGCCTATATCTTTGCAAATGTAGAAGTGATCTTTGTGCATAAATCTCTGTGCCCATTTCTTATTGTGCCTTTCCATTTTTTTTTTTTTTCTGTTTATAGAAGTTACTGTGGGAAAACTTTTTTTTATTAAATGACTTTTTTTTTTTTTTTTTGGGCTTTTTGAGACAGGGTCTCCCTGTAGCCCCAGCTGTCCTGGAACTCACTATGTAGACTGGGCTAGCCTTGAACTCATAGAGATCTGCTTGTCTCTGCCTCCAGAGTGCTGGGATTAAAGGCATGTGCACGCCACCACGCCTGGCTCTTATTAAATGATTTTTTAAAAATTATTTTCTTTATTGTTTTATGTGTATGAGTGTACTGCCTGCATGTATTTGAGTGCACCTGTGTAGTGCAATGCCACGGAGGTCAGAAGAGGGTTTCGGATTCCCCTGGAACTGGAGTTAAGGATGGTTCATAGCTGCCATGTGGGTGCTGGGAGTCGAACCCAAGTCTTCTGCAAGAGCAGTCAGTGCTCTTAACCGCTGAGCCATCTCTCCAGTCCCAAGGAGAAAACTTTTTTTTCTTTCTTTCTTTCTTTTTTTTTTTAAAGACAGTGTATCACTGGGTGTGGTGGCACATGGTTGTGGTCCCTTCTTCTCTCAGCAAGTGCCCTTCTTCTTTCAGCAAACCCTGAGCAATCTCTCCAACCCCCAATTCTCTTTAAAAAGGGGCTGGAGAGATACCTCAGTGGTTAAGAGCACTGACTGCTCTTGTAGAAGACTGGGGTTCAATTTTTAGCACTCACATGGCAGCTAACAACCATGTGTAACTCCAGTTTCAGGGGAATTTGATGCCCACTTGTGATTTGCGAGGGCATTGCCCAACACAGGTTCACTTATATACATGCAGGCAATAGTCTCATACACATAAAAAAATTTTTTTAAGATTTATTTTGTGTATGTGTGTATGTATGTATTCATATATGCAAGTGCCTGTACAGGCCAGAAGAGGGTATCCATACCCTGAAACTGAAGTTAGAGGCTGTTGTGAGCTGACATGGGTGCTGGGAACTGAACTCAGGTCCTCTGCAAGGAGCAGCAAATACTCATAACTGCTGAGCCATCTCTCTAGCCCCATGATTAGAGATGGTTTTTAAAATATAAAACAAAACATAGATAATAGAAGAAGTTTAGGAAGACAGTTCATATCACCAAAGTGAAAATTATTTTTCCTCTGTCATCAACATGCATTTTATCAGATGCCTAATAATATACATAGGTTATTCATTTTCATTTACTTTTTTTTTTGAAACAGGGTCTCCCTGTAGCTCCAACTGGCCTGAACTCACTATGTAGACCAGGCTGGCTTTGATCTCACAGAGACCTGCCTTCCTCTGCCTCCCCAGATGCTAGGACTAAAGGCATGTACCACTATGAATGACATATCTTCATTTTTTTAAAAAATATATTTTTATTTTATGTGTATTGAGTGTATTGCCTGCATTTAGGTAAATGCATCTGTGTTGCACAATGCCTGCGGAGGACGGAAGAGGCCATCAGATCCCCTGGAACTGGAGTTGTTAGCTGCCATGGGGGTGCTGGGATTCGAACCCAGGTCTTCTGCAAGAACAACCAGTGTTCTTAACCACTGAGATATCTCTCCAGCTCCAGCATATCTTCACTTTTAAAAAAGATTTATTTTTTTTTAATTTTTGCCGGGCATAATGGCATACACCTTTAGTCCCAGCACTCAGGAGGCAGAGGCAGGTGCATCTCTGTGGATTTGAGGCCAGCCTGGTCTACACAGCGAGTTCTAGGCCAGCTGAGGCTACAGGAAGACCCTGTCTCAAAAAGATGAAAAAAAAAAAGAGATTAATTAAAAATTTTTTTTTAATTTTGTGTGTGTGTGTGTGTGTGTGTGTGTGTGTGTGCAAAATTATACCTGAGTATAGTTACCTATGAAGGCCAAAAGAGATGGTCAGGTACCCTGGAGTTATATGCAGTTATGAGACACCCAACTGGGAAATGAACTCTGTTCCTCTGTAAGAGCACTAAGGGCTTTTAACTGCTGAGCTGTCTCTCTAGCCCCTACATCTTCATTTTTAATGATCTGACTTTCCCTTTCCCTGTGGATCCAGGGCTTCCTGCATACCAAGCAAGCCTACTACGCTAAGTAGCTGAGGATAACTTTACTTCTACCTCTTAAGTAGTGGGATTATAGGCATGCATATACTGGTTTATGCAGTCCAAAGGATCAAACCCAGATCTTACTGCATGCTAGGCAAGCATTCTCTCAACAACTTCACTACATCAGTCACCTCAAATCATGCTATGTGTTTAACAGATGTTTTCGCATTCCTCATTAGTTTTTGGAGAGCTTCATACAATATATTTTAATCATATTCATCCACTTCCCCAGCTCCTCCAGGTCCATCCCCTCTTCTCTACCCACTTAAGTTTGTGGATTTTTAAATTTTTTCTTTTTTGCTTTTTTGAAATCGGGTCTCCCTGTAACCCCAGCTGGTCTGGAACTTACTATGTAGACCAGGCTGCCCTTGAGCTCACAGAGATCCACCTGCCTCTGCCTAGTATTAAAGGTGTGTGCCGATGTAGACCAGGCTGGCCTTGAACTCACAGAGATCCGCCTATTTCTGCCCCAAGAGTGCTGGGATTAAAGACGTGAACCACCATGCCCTGCTGGTGCCTAGATATTTCAAAGAATAATTATCTGCCTTGATAATCCCAACACTCTGGAAACTCAGGTACAGGAACAAGGATTCAATGAAATTGAGGCCAACCTGGGCTACATCATTAGTTCCAGGCCACCCTGGACTAGAGGGTGAGACCATTCCTCAAATAATCAAAATTTCTTTCTTGGGGCTGGAGAGATGTCTCAGTGGTTAAGAGCACTGGCAGAGGACCTGGACTCAATTTGGAGCATCCACATGGTTGCTAACAACCATCCATAACCCCAGTTATAGAGGATCTGACACTGTCTTCTTGAGTGGGCATCCCATGATGTGGGTACATTTAGGCATTTAGCAAAACACTTATACATATAAAAATAATTTTTAAACCAGGAGTGGTGGTGCACGCCTTTAATCCCAGCACTTGGGAGGCAGAGGCAGGCATATCTTTGTGAGTTCGAGGCCAGCCTGGTGTACATAGTGAGTTCCAGGACAGCTGGGGCTACAAGGAGACTCTGTCTCAAAAAGACAATAAATAAATCAATAAATTTTAAGATTTCTTTCCTGAAATTTGCTACAGTGGATCCAGGAATAGTGGTACATGCCTTCAATCTCAGCATTTGGGAGATGGAGACAGGAAGATTGGGAGTTCAAGGTCATCCTTAACCTGGGGGAATGACTATACAGTGAGTTATAGATAGGCCAGCCTGGGCTACATAAGACCCTATCTAAAAAACAGATATCTTAAAGGTATGTACCACCACACCCAGCTTGTGGCCTCCTTTATAAAATTTTGGGGGGGGTGGCCTGGAGAGGTGGCTCAGCAGTTAAGAGCGCTGATTCTCTTGCAGAACCCGGGTTTGGATCCCAGCACCACATGGTAGTTAAGAACTGTCTGAAACTCCAATTCCAGGGGATCTGATGCCCTCTTCTGACCTCCAAGGGCATTGTATGATATGGGTGCACTTATATGCATGCACACTTAAATAAAATAAAAAACTACTAAACTTTAAAATTTTTATGAGTGTTTGCCTTCATGTATGTAAGTGCACCATGTGCCATGCAGTGTCTGCAGAGGCCAGAAGAGGAGATTGGATAGCCTTGAATTCGAGTTAAGGACGACGGTTACCTGCTATGTGGGTCCTCTGGAAGAACAGCAAGTGCTTTTAACTCCTGACCCATCTGTCCAACTTCACTTTTTATTTTTTTAAAATCCATCAAGCTCAATTTGTGCTGCCTATATACTCCTAAATGTGTAGCAGTGTGCGGGAGTGTGGTTGACCTACCATGCCATACATTTTTTTTCTTTTCTTTTGAAACAGGGTCTTACTATGTAGAGTGAGAAGGCTGACCTAGAATTTGCTAAGTAGACCAGGCTGACCTTGAACTCACAGATACCTGCCTGCCTCTGTCTCCTAAGGGCTGGGATTAAAGGTGTGTACCACCATACCCTGCCCAAGGCCATACTCTTAAAGAAAACTGTGCAAGATTTGTGCATGCTGTCTAATTCATTTCATGGCTTTCTGCTTAATTTAGAGTAAGTTTGTTAAAATGATTGGAAAGAGTCTATTTGGTCTGGCCTTTGATCACCTTAGTTTTCATAGCTTGTTTGTGGTGCTTAACACTTCAGCTTTACTGAGTCTGCTTCCTTTGTTCAAGTCATTGATCTTTATAAATTTATAAACATTATTTACTCATTTTGAGTTTTTTTTTCTTTCTCTCTTTTTTTTTTTTTTATTATTTTGAGACAAGGCCTGCCCGTAGTCACATCTGGCCTGGAACTTACTGTGTAGACCAGGCTATCTTTTATGTCACAGAAATCTGCCTGCCTTTCAAGTGCTGGGATTAAAGCTCTGAGCTACTGTGCCCAGCCCTTTTTATCATTTTTTTTTCTTTTTTATTAGACAAGGTCTCACCATTATCCTGGTGTGGCCTAAAGCTCCCTATGAAGCCTGTACTAGCCTTGAAGTCACACCAATCCTCCTGCCTCAGCCTACTGAGTTCTGGGGTTACAGGTATATCTCCTTTAGACTTTTGGTTTCTAAGATAAGGTTTCCTTTGCTTAAATTTCTATTAATTTTCTATTCTCTTAATTTTCTATTTGAAAATTATTCATTTAGTGTACTTTGAGCAGCTGCCATATAAGCTGATCCCACAGGGCACTGTTTGACTTTGCCCCAGTGTCTGCTAACTGGTTAGACTCAAACCCCAGTGTGCTTCATGATTCTTTATAGGATTTTGTGTTAGCAGTTCCCTTTATTGGTCTTGAGGGAAGATCAGGAAGACCTTCATAGGCCCTCTTTAAGCCTTAAAAATCTCAAAGCCTTGGTAAGAGGTACTCAGGACCAATCTGACTATGTACCATGGCAGTCTCATCCTGCTCCTCTGGCTTCAGAGCTCTTTACACTGGTAAAACACATCCATCCTGTCTTACCTTTCCCTTGCACTAATGCTACCAGTTCTTTCTGCTTTATGGTTGTGTAGAGCGATATTATGTGTATGCGTGTATTGCCTGCATGTAGGTAAGTGCACCCACATCATGCAATGCCCGTGGAAGACAGAAGAGGCTGTCGGAGCCTCTGGAACTGGAGTTACGGACAGCTGTTAGCTACCATGTGGGTGCTGGGATTTGAACCCCAGGTCTTCTTCAAGAACAGTCAGTGTTCTTAACCGCTGAGCCATCTCTCCAGCCCCAAAAGTGTTTTGAGTGCATGGATGTAATTGCATCCATATCATGCAGTGCTGGTGGAAGATATCAAATTAGATCCCCTGGAACTGGAGTTATAGACAACTGTTAGCCACCATGGTGGAACCTTTTTGAGACAGGGTCTCCCTGTAGCCCCAGTTGGCCTGGAACATGCTGTGTAGACCAGGCTGGCCTCGAAATCACAGAGATCCTCCTGCCTCTGCCTCCCAAGTGCTGGGATTAAAGGCATATGCCACAATGCCCAGCGAAGCTTCATGTTTTCTACCTGTACTATAGGCACTTTATCTCATGGAGCTTTGGATTATATTAATTGACTTTTCAGGTAGATTATTTTATAATAAAGTACTTTCATTGATATGAATGTTTCCAGGCCCTTAACTTTTACCATGATAAAGCAAAAAGTTTCATTCTGGCTTGCGCATAAAACGTTCATATGAATGTTGAATGTTATGAGCCTATCACATCATAGACAACTGAAAAAATGTTTGTGAACATAAAAGGCAGCAATGGCAACCCTGAGTTTTACTTTGAGAGCTATTTTTCACTCCTGAGAGGTGCTGTAAGAGGTGTTACTTTCCCCAGGCACTACTCTTCCTCATTTTTTTTGTTTACTGGGGCATTGATTTTCTTCTTTTCTCCCCTATAAAAGGGTTTTGTGTTTCCTAAACATGAAGTATTTTCTAATAAAGATTTGTGGATGCTGAATATGCAGAGCCGAAGTGAAAGAGATTGTAAGAGAAACTTGCCATGTGAGTGAACAGGGAAGAGTCTCTGAGAAATAACTAATGAAGCTCAGGAGATAATTACTGTCTGTCACAAATACTGGAGACAGGTTGGGTTAGCATCTCTGGGGCCTTTTTTTTTTTTTTTTTTTTTTCCTAGTACTCATTTTGTCTTTCATTTCTGGCATCTTTTACCTTTATCAGTATCCACTCATTGAATACAGACCATCAACACTGTTTGATTTTCCCTAATCTTAGCCTGTGTGATGATGTTTGTTTTCCATTTTTCATTGCCTGTGATATATTACTCCTTGGGAATCTGTAGTCTTTTCAGTGGAGTTTCTTCACTAACAGTGGTTACATTATCCCAAAGCAGATATCTTCCACCACTTACAGCCCTAAGTTACTTGCCTTGCTTGCTTTTACTGATCCTTACTCATGGATAGATACTGAAATCTGTTAGGGAACCACAGCTACAGTGCCTCTATTTTCACTCATAAGAGGTACTCAGTGATTTTTTTTTCCCCCAGGTTGGAAGAAAAATGCTGCTCCAAAGCAGGATATTTCTCAAATTGATTCAGCAGGGATATTAGCAAAGTGATTTCATGGAGATGAATACCAGGATTCTGTATTTGAAGAGTAATATGCATCTGAAGACATGAAGGAAAACCTTTTGAGAGAGACTCTTAGTGTATATATTTTCCTGGAAGGAGCTTTGGGGGAATAACTTTCATCGACGAAGAGGGACCTCCTGAAATGATTTGTCAAGAATATAAGTTTAAGAAAAGCTATGTTTTGACTTGAAGCTTTGTTACACATCCCAGCTTGTCTACAGAAGAAAGCATGCAGAAAACACGTAACATTCACACCACTGAAATGTTAGATCAAAATAATTGTTCAACTCTGTCCACACAGAAAAAATCTTGGAAATGTCATCAATGTGGAAAAACCTTTGCTAGGAACTCATCCCTTATAAAACATCAGAGAACTCATACTGCAGAGAAACCCTATATGTGTCAGGAATGTGGGAATACCTTCAGTCGTAGCTCATTCCTTGTACAGCATCAACGAATTCACACTGATGTGAAACCATATGGGTGTGAGCAGTGTGGAAAAATGTTCCAGTGTCGATCATTTCTTCTTCAGCATCAGAAAATGCACAGAGGAGAAAAACCATATAAGTGCAATGAGTGTGGGAATTCTTTTCACAGTCATTCATACCTCACTGAACATCAGAAAACGCACACTGAAGAGAAATCTTATAAATGTAGTAGATGTGGGAAGGCATTCAATCAGAACATGCACCTCATAGGCCAGAAAATTCACACTGATGAGAAGCCTCATTTATGCACGGAATGTGACTCTTTTTTTAATAAACATTCCAATCTTACACAACATCAAAAAATTCACACTGGGAAAAAATCTCATAAATGTGATCAATGTGGGAAAACCTTCAAAACAAAGTCAAAGCTCTCCGAACATCAGAGAATTCATACTGGAGAGAAGCCCTATCAGTGTAAGGACTGTGGCAAAACCTTTCGTCAGAGCCCCTCTCTTATTAAACATCAGCGAATTCACACTGGAGAAAAACCCTATAAATGTGAAGAATGTGGCAAAGCCTTTACTCAAAGCACCCAACTCATTAAACATCAGAGAATTCACACAGGGGAGAGACCCTACAAATGTGATGAATGTGGTAAAGCCTTCATTCAGAGCATTTGTCTTATTCGGCATCAAAGAAGTCACACTGGAGAAAAACCATATAAATGCAATGAATGTGGAAAGGGTTTTAATCAGAATACTTGCCTTACTCAGCATATGAGAGTTCATACTGGAGAGAGACCATATAAATGTAAAGAATGTGGGAAAGCTTTTGCTCATAGTTCATCTCTTACTCAACATCATAGAACTCACACTGGTGAGAAGCTGTATAAATGTAGCGAATGTGAGAAAACCTTCCGCAAGTATGCACACCTTAGTGAGCATTACAGAATTCATACTGGTGAGAAGCCTTATGAGTGTATTGATTGTGGTAAATTCTTCAGACATAGTTCAGTTCTTTTCAGACATCAGAAGCTACACAATGGTGAATAATCCTGACTTGTAGCTTATAACAGTTTCTCTAAAGAATAACTAAAATTCTGGTAGGAAGGAGGTAGGGGATAGAGAATGTTGAAGGAACCTTTCTTACTGTACTCTGAGACTGCTCCAGAAATGGAGAGTTTGGGCAGTGCAGATCCTGTTTTAGGTGGATATGAGTTAATACAATACAGGGTGAAAAGAACATGCCAGCTTTTCAGATGAAGCTTCCATACTTCTTGTAAACCTCAAGGTAGTGTTTTCGTATAAGTGTGTTTCCTCTACACACTCCCACCCAGCTTTTCAACCCTGTTACTTTCTGGTGAAATGTGCTTTTCTAAACATGAAAATTGCAACTGTGCTGAGCTTTAAGGATGCTCTAGATGCATGGAGAAGCTGTGGTCACACTCTTCAGCATGCCTTGAGATGCCCCAACCTGTAGAAGTGGTCTTTTGGAGAGGAAACAAAAACAAGTCTGTAATTATTCAACAAATAAGATCTGTGGCAAGAATTGAGCTAATCTCTGCAGATGTTCTGGTGAAGGTGGCTAATTTCAGAATAAAGATGCTCCCTGACCTTTCAAGCTTGTGTGTGACTTAAGGCTAAGAAATAAATTGGAGTTAGGAGAGACTTTGACATTGTGTGAGATGGTAGATTTGCTCAGGAAGTAGAGGAAGACTTGTTAAAGAAGATACTGACTCAGAAGAATTTGTGGTAGGCAAATGACAAAAAGCTTCAGAACAAGCCAAGTGGTGGTGCACACCTCTAAAGACAGCACTCCAGAGGCAGAGGTAAACAGATCTCTGAGATGAAGACTAACCTCAGAGTTCTAGGTCAACTAGAGCTACAGGGAGACCCTGTCTCAAAAACAAACAACCCCCAAATGAAGCTTCGGAACAGGGAGCCTATATTTGATTGAGCAAGCCATGTACATAATCCTGCCTTCAACTGAGGTCTGTCTGCACTTGGCTTTCTTAAGTTTGATCAGGCAACTGGTTTACAGGGACCAGAGGAAAAAAAATTTGCTAAGGCTAACCGTGTCCTAAGAACTACAGAAGCAACTTAGCCAGGTATGGTGGCATCCACCTTTAATCCCAGCACTCAGGAAACAGATAGGAAGATCTCTGAGTTTGAGACCAGCCTGGTCCACATAGTAACCAGGGAAACCAGGGTTATGCAGTGAGTCCTCAGAGAGGGAGAAGAAGGGGAGGGAGGGAGGGGGGGAG